AATCAAAGTTATGTTTCATTGTTGTGATGCGCGAACCTTGTTTGGCCTGTCACTGTAGATAAGCCGATTTTTTCAGCACATTCTTTGGTGCACCGGCCAGCCCAGTGGGTAATGAGCTTGCACGGTGGGACTCTCAGGCTGTAAGGTACCTACAGACCTGCGGGGCCACCAAGACGGGTTCAAATCCCCACTGGGCTGGTCTTTTTCACATCTTTTCTTAGCTTCAATTGCATTCCAAATCACGTTTACTTGTTAAAAAACTTATGTATTTAATTATAAAAAATTAAATTGAATGAAATTACAAGAAATAAAATAATATTTTTCGGGCACGCTTTTTCAGTACACGACCTTCAAGGGCTCGATATTGTTTGCATATTTTTTTAATAATTATTGTTTTAATTAAACTGTGTTTTCTTTACACAACCTGCAAATTATATGTAAAGCGATTTGCCGGAATTATTATTTAAATAGCCACCAAAAAGAATTTATAAATTCGTCAACAGGGATCTCAACGAATCAAGAAAAATTGTGATTGTTGTTCAAGCAACAATCAAAGTAATGTTTCATTGTTGTGATGCGCAAACCTTGTTTGGCCTGTCACTGTTGATAAGCCGATTTTTTGGGCACATTCTTTGGAGCAGCGGCCAGCCCAGTGGGTTGAGGCGCGCACAGTAGGACTCTTGGGTCTGTACGGTAGACAGACCTGCGATACCCTACCCAGCCGGGTTCAAAACCCAACTGGGCTGGCCTTTTTCACATCTTTTCTTAGGTTCAATTGCATTCCAAATCACGTTTACTTGTTAAAAAACTTGCTTATTGAATTAAAAAAAATTAAATTGAATAAAATTACAAGAAATAAAATTATATTTTTCGGGCACGCTTTTTCAGTACATGATCTTCATGGGCTTGTTATTATTTGCATATTTTATTTTATTATTGTTTCAACAAAGAGATATTTAATTAATTGAAATTTTATCACACTTTTCATGGCCTGAATAGAAAATATGTTTTGTTGCTGCATATTTTTTAATTTTTATAGCAAATTTATTTTACCACTTAAAGAAAGGAAAGTAAATATTGAATACTGGCAGTTTTATAAACAAAACTTATCTAGATTTGCAAGTATAATAAAAAAGTATTAAATCCGATTGATTAAATTTTGTAGTTTTTATCCTTGTTGAAGGAGGATTTTGGCCCCATTCATCGCTGATGTATTTTTAATGGGAACAGAATGTCCGGCAAATGTAATTCCAGGCATGACTTGCAATGAAGATTCAAGTTTGAAAGTTTCGGCTAGTTGGGAATTGCTAATCAGTTCGCTGTTTGCGACGCACATGTATTCTACAGGAGCTCTTAAGGGTTGGAGGGTCTTAATTGCGGCAAGAGTGGTCGCAAAATCGATTTCCAGATAATGTCCACTACAAGCAAGGCGATTTTTAAATAACAACTATTTCTTTATTTTATTAAATCAACCACGTAAAATTACCTGAATTTTAATCTTATAATAAAACATTTCCATAACATGAAAATTTTAATTCGATTCAAAAGAAACTATTGTGGGAAACAAGAACTTTGCATTCAATGTTCAAAGAAATTGAACGTTTTACTTTTTGTTCGCAAGTAATTTTTAGTTCATTTTTTTCACGACTTGAGGTGACAGAGTATGCAACAGTTTCGTCTCGGCTGCACAGCAGGTTGCATATCAAGAGTTTCGCAGGCGCTTTGCTTGAAAGGTAGAGTTTCTACGTTCAAATTGTTTATTGTAAGTGTAATGCTCGCGACAACTTACACGAAAAAAAGGTTTTTTTTAGTTCTAGGGAGCTGGAAACTCATCATCTGAAATTAAAAATCTCCATTATATTTATTTATGTCTTTGGAAATAAAATCGCATTAAAAGCTTGTTTTTCCTCTCAAATAATCTGATTATTATTTGAGAGTTTATTGAGAAGCTATTTTCCCAGCCTCTCAAAGAACCAGAATTTTCGGAAATTACAGCATAGCTTTCCTGCTTGCCTTCATTAATATTTACTTACGGGTTTATTGAAACACCAAGTTTAAATCAAGACTTCACCTCCGTCAGTTTTAATCCTTTTAGAGTGGTTATAAATGAGCTTGGTAATATTCACTAATTTTCAATTGATCAAGAATACCCTCATTAAATTGGTTAAATCTGACTTATTTATTTCAAGAGCGTGCTTTTAGAGGCGTGGGAAGAGCTCACAAATAAAAGATATATCGGTGCAAATATTTATTCAGAACGCGCAGTTTACAGGCAAATTTATTTCCGGGCGCCGAAAGATCGGTTGGAGCGATCAATTTGCGCTCGGGCGAGGAGTCGCCTGATTTATTTGTCCGGCAGCGGCCCCTTCACCACACCAACAACGACCGCAGAGACAAATTTTTATTCCCGACCGTCGCGATGGAAAATCATAAATTCGCACCGAGTGGTGGGAAAATTTTCGGGCGAGCGCCGTTTTTCACACGAGCGAGCCTCTTTGCTTCGCCAGGTCGTATTTCTATCGATTGCGTGGGCTATCGTGTTGCATTACGCGCACTCTATTATGCATGCGGGACCTTCTGCTGCCGCAAATCCCGTTCCCGACCAGCATTTGCATTTTGACAAAGATGGATCCCGGAAATGCGGATGCCGTGCGGATATTTTCAATATTCCGCACAATGCCATAAAAATATTGTTTAGATGCCCAAGATAGATTTTTTTACAACTATCACGTTTTAGTTTTAAAAAGTAATAAAATTACATTGTTTAATAATGTAAAAAAATCTAAGAGAACGCAGAAAGCGTTGATTTTTACTTCTCAACCTCTCAAAGTTCATGAAAATTTCAGGGTGTAAAATCACATTTCGCTAAAGTTCAATTAAAACTTCACATGGATTAAAAGATTAAAAGCTTTTGTTAAATATTAAAATAAAAGTTCCTCCAGCCTCTTTGCAATCTGATATATTGAGAAAAGAGTTTATAATAAAATAATAATAAAGTTAATTCAAATTAACAACTTGTGCTTTCTTTAAAATGTTGTTTTAATTAAGAAAACAGCCAGGAATGCAAAATAATATTTTTAAAACCCTCACTTTATTCAATTAATTACAAATTAAGCTATTTTTCAAATTGATTTGATTTATTTTTTAACATGAACTAAATAGAATTAATTATTTCTAAGCCATTTTTATAGTTAATAAACCAGAACTATTTAATTTTTATTTATTATAAAAAGCAGTAAATTCAATAAAAATGCATCGATTTGACTTTTTTTTATCATAATATTTGATGCTACTAATATCAACGTAGATTATGAATCAAAAAGTACACAATACATTTTTTCAACTGCAACCATCTCCATTCAGAGGATTTGAGAGGGTGATTGATTAGACCCATAAATGGAAATTCCAAGGACGATTCACTTCAATTCCACCCTCGGGAGAAAGAGAGTGTCTGTCTGCCGAAGGAAAAACACGCCGAGGATGCACCTCATTTCATTCAGTATTCAGAGAGGCGGCACCGAAAACGGGGAAAAGAGAGTCGGAAGATGATTAATCTGCCTCTCGACGATCGGCGGATCGCTCGGGCAGCCACGCACTCGGGCTGAAAATTCGCTCTCCGCAGAGAAGAAGAAGTGGAAAAGAGTGAGTGTTGCTATTGTGCTGTCATTGCGGGCGGGCGGGCGTCGACGAGCAAGCAAGAATTTATATTGCTTTTCCATCACCGCGCGTAGTGAGAAGAGCGCAAGGTGTTGGGAGGATTTGCTGCTGTGGGAAATTAAAGGCTCAAAATTCGACACGCTGACTGATGGCAGAAGCAAGAATTTGTGAAAAAAGAGGATGTTTGGAACGTGACGGAAAAAAGAGTGGTTTTTTTTACTGAAAAGGAAATTTTCCTCTTTACGGCAAAAAGAGTTTTTCTTTTTACAGGGGAGGTGTAATTTTTATTATATTTTTTATTTCCTTGTGTGAACAAGCGGCCGAGAACGTCAGAGAGATAGACTTGTTGTGGTGCGCGCACAAATGAACCCATAAAATGGAGCAGAATGGAAACTATAAATCAGGCGCGGGATGATTTAACGCGTGTACAGACTTTAGCACCGCAAAACGGGTCGAGTGTGTCATTTTCCTAGATGGACAATGTTCTCTGCCAAAATTGTACAAACATATACTTGCCCTCAATTGATGTTTTGAAATAAAAAATCGTCAATTATTTTAGGAAATTCAAAAATTACGACGGAAGCATCTGATATTGAATATTTATAGACAAACATTCAATTTTCTCAGAAAAAAGGAATTTCTTCAGATCAAAATTTTAGTTGAAAATGTCCCAACGTGAAATTTTTGCTAAAGGAAGCTAGTTTTTTTTGTGATTTTAAATTTTAAATCAATTATGAGGATTTTTATAATAGTTTTTAAATATTTATGACAGCACGGATTTCAAAATTAATTTAGTTTGAAATTTAAAATATCTTTCTAGAAAAATAAATAGCGCTTAATTCTATTGCTTTAATTTTTTTCCCTAGGAACTATTTTGACATAAGTAGAAAATCAAATGAATAATTTGAAATTTGCAAGAAATTTAAAAAATGTGAAAAAATAAAGTTGGAACAAATTGTGAATGAAACAAAAAACAGTTATATTCAGCATTTTAGTCTCTCATGTTCTGAATGCGACTGAAAAAAAATGCAAGATCCATCAATGAATTTTGAAGCGAATGAGAAAAAACTAAAAAATTAATTTTTGTAACTAAATTATATGCATTATAAATTGCTAAAAGACAGGATTCTATGAAAGTTTGAGAAAAACTTATTTTTCAAAGTGGGCGAAACCGAAACCACCGAATTAATTCCTTCTTCTTGCCAGACAAATCTTTTGTTACAAAGATCTGCCCAAATATGATTTCCAGCAAAGAATACAAAAGTTCGTAAAGGGGAAAATTTTTGCTCACAATCAAATTCATAATAAATTAATAATTCTGAAAGCAAATTCTTGGTACTCACTTTTGTAGACTGTCCTCCTCCTCCTTCCGTTTTTTGAGGAATTCGACCTGGAACAAAATCATATTTCGGTGAAAATACAATTTGAGCGCAGTTAGGCTTTGAATTGCAAACGAAAACGGGCGGTCTTATGGCGCATATTATCTTTGATCCTCTCTTCGGAGGCACTCAAGGACGTGCTTTCGATTGCCAAGAGCGATCAAACGAGGAGAGACATTGTCAACGGGCGGGTCGTGATCCGCGCATTAATTTAATTTGGACGCAAGAAGCTGCTGATACGTCAGCAAGGCGCGCTGGCTGGCGTTTAATATTAAGCGACGAGCAAACGAACGATGACAAGAGGCTGCAAAAAGTGACTGCGCCGGAAAATACGTTTCTCGTGTTGCCGTCTGGAGACGTGTGTTTGCAATTACCTATAAGCCCTTTTCTTGTCGTCGCCAAGGCGCCTCTGTTATTAATTTATGTTGGCTCCGTTAAAGCAAAAACGGAAATGTGTGAATTGAGACTGTTCGGAATGGGGTTGAACGAAGAAACGGCTGCTGTTTATGCTTTCGATCAGTTGGTTAAGAGGGTACCAGAAATGATTTTTTTTTCTTTATTCATAATTTTCCCCAATTAATGATCACATAAAGAAACAGCAATATATACACGTCTGCCTTTCAAATGTGTTTGATTAACCTGATGGAAGGTTTAAACAGGCCCATTAACTCATTTTTCTCTTTAAGTGAAATATTGCCTAATTCTTTCATTCCGTTGATCAAATTGATTTCGAAATGTAGGTTAAAAAATAAATAAATAAGAGTTAACCAAGAGAAAATCAGTTACAAAAATTTGAAAAAAAGTGATATCATTAGATATTCACACAAATTAATTAATCCCTTTGAATTTAATAATTGTTAAAAGATACACAAAAAATGTGTATAATTCAAATTATAAAACTCCAATCACGAAATTTTTAAATTCAGATTTTGAGCTCCTTACTTTTTAACAAGTCACTTAATAATTTGACTCTTCTCATCGGAAAAGTTGTAAAGCTGAGGTACATATAAATTTTAAATTTTTGCTCTCAGCAGCTACTGTAAATCGATTTGCCGGAATTATAATTTAAATAGCCGACGAAAAGAATTTCTAAATTCGCCAACAAGGATCTCAAAATGGAGCAAAATTGTTATTGTTGCTCAAACAACAATCGAAGTAATGTTTCATTGTTGTGATGCGCGAACCTTGTTTGGCCTGTCACTGTTGATAAGCCGATTTTTTGGGCACATTCTTTGGAGCAGCGGCCAGCCCAGTGGGTGGAGGCGCGCACAGTAGGACTCTTGGGTCTGTACGGTAGACAGACCTGCGATACCCTACCCAGCCGGGTTCAAAACCCAACTGGGCTGGCCTTTTTCACATCTTTTCTTAGGTTCAATTGCATTCCAAATCACGTTTACTTGTTAAAAAACTTGCGTATTCAACTAAAAAAATTAAATTGAATAAAATTACAAGAAATAAAATTATATTTTACGGGCACGCTTTTTCGGTACACGACCTTCAAGGGCTCGATATTGTTTGCATATTTTTTTAATAATTATTATTTTAATTAAACTGTGTTTTCTTTACACAACCTGCAAATTATATGTAAAGTGATTTGCCGGAATTATTATTTAAATAGCCACCGAAAAGAATTTATAAATTCGCCAACAAGGATCTCAAAGTGGAGCAAAATTGTGATTGTTGCTCAAACAACAATCAAAGTAATGTTTCATTGTTGTGATGCGCGAACCTTGTTTGGCCTGTCAATGTTGATAAGCCGATTTTTTTCAGCACATTCTTTGGAGCAGCGGCCAGCCCAGTGGGTGGAGGCGCGCACAGTAGGACTCTTGGGTCTGTACGGTAGACAGACCTGCGATACCCTACCCAGCCGGGTTCAAAACCCAACTGGGCTGGCCTTTTTCACATCTTTTCTTAGGTTCAATTGCATTCCAAATCACGTTTACTTGTTAAAAAACTTGCGTATTTAATTAAAAAAAATTAAATTGAATAAAATTACAAGAAACAAAATTATATTTTTCGGGCACGCTTTTTCAGTACACGACTTTCAAGGGCTCGATATTTTTTTGCATATTTTTGAATTATTATTGTTTTAATTTAAGCGTATTTTCTTTACACAACCTGCAAATTACATGTAAAGCGATTTGCCGGAATTATTATTTAAATAGCCACCAAAAAGAATTTCTAAATTCGCCAACAAGGATCTCAACAAATGAAGCAAAAGTTGCTCAAACAACAATCAAAGTAATGTTTCATTGTTGTGATGCGCGAACCTTGTTTGGCCTGTCACTGTTGATAAGCCGATTTTTTTCAGCACATTCTTTGGAGCAGCGGCCAGCCCAGTGGGTGGAGGCGCGCACAGTAGGACTCTTGGGTCTGTACGGTAGACAGACCTGCGATACCCTACCCAGCCGGGTTCAAAACCCAACTGGGCTGGCCTTTTTCACATCTTTTCTTAGGTTCAATTGCATTCCAAATCACGTTTACTTGTTAAAAAACTTGCGTATTTAATTATAAAAAATTAATTTGAATAAAATTACAAGAAATAAAATTATGTTTTTCGGGCACGCTTTTTCGGTACACGACCTTCAAGGGCTCGTTAGTATTTGCATATTTTATTTTTATTATTGTTTCAACAAAGAGATAGAGAGCTCAGCAGCTACTTTTTTCCATTTCTTGCTGTCCAGTTATCCTTCAGCGCGCTCTCTCTTGGCCAACCCCTGCGGCCCCATCCAGCATAGTCAGAAGATAAAATTCACCACTTTTGCGCTACCGTGCTGGAGGGTGTGTGTTTGATACGCCCACCGCGTTAATGTCCAGCTTTCTACAGCGGCCATAACGTTTCACGATACGGCCGCAGCAGGCCGAAGTAACGAGGTGATAATTTCTCGCTTTCGCCGCCGCCCTTTTATTTCGGCAATTTCGCCTCGAAAGGCATCGCTCAAAGAAAATTGCCCCTCGAACTTAAACAAACGCGGAATCAGAATTTCTAGCTCCTTTTTTATGAGGGCGAATAAATGAAGCGCGGCGGGAGCCAAGGTATGAAATTAATTAATATGCGCGTAATTGGTTTTTCCGTCAGCGTCTTTGTTTCGCGTTGACGCGGCAAAACCCTCGCCCTCGAGGTGTGCGCGCGGGATATCCAATTTGGAAGTGAGCAGACAGATTGGGATTTCAACTGGAAGGATTATGGCGCGACCGAGCACCAGATACTTTCGCACCGCAGACTAATTATTCGCTGCCGAGACTCTTTTCTCCCGCGAGCTTGTTTGCTTTTCGTTACACACACCTCGTTCTCTAATTAATTAATGTGCGCGCCGAAAAAGCAGATGGTGTATCTCTCTTTCGGCAACAAAAAGGCAGAAACTTTTATTAAAGCCGAGCTCAAAAACAAACATTTTAATAATGATCAATTTAGAGTGGAAGCAGAAGAATGAAAGCAGAGGAGCTATAAAAAAGCTATAGGTACAAAAATGAATATTCGAATTCAAAGTGGAATTCTATTCATGAAAATTTCAAATTTAGTTAAAATGACTAAATAGAAACAAAATTTTTGGAATCAATAACAATTCTACTCCAGATATTGCTTGAAAATCAGAAGGATAAAAGTAGTCAAAGTGAAGAACTGGCCTTGTCATCGTTGGGTATTTGTAATCATTTTTTATTTATTTATTTTTTCTTTAAGAATTCAAAGGTTCTATTTAATTAATGTCGGTCCTCATTGAAAAATAAAAAATTTAAAAAATATTCAGAAAAGATTTGTTTATTTATTTGATAAAATTAAAAATTTCAAATAAAAGAAACGAGAATGGTTAAATTTAAAGGCTCTATTTGAACAGAAAATTCAATGAAGCATCTTAAATTTGTACTACTTTTTCTGTTCTTGCTCAAAGTTGGTGTCGTTTTTTTATTATAAAAAGAGAAAATCTTTGCTTTTCATTAATTTTTCCTCAAATGATTAACTTCTTTTCTACAGAACAACGTAAAAGTATTTTTGCAAGAAAATATTAAAAGAAAGTAACTTGTAATCAAGTTCAATTTTTCTGGTTAGATTTCAAAATAGAATATTTTTCATTTTTCCATTTTCTGTATTCTTTTACAATAAAACTCTCTTTGTCAGGAGCATCAAAGGTCGGCAACCACTTTCACTCTCAATAGGAGCGAGCAAGAAAAAACCGAAGCAAATCAAATAAGCCAAAGTTCCTTGTCGCCGAGTTCTCCGGTGTCTGCAGCGAGATTGACTTGACGCGTCTAGCCGCTTTTTGTTCCTTATCTGCGCGCGCGAGCAAGAATAACCAAGAGTAAAAAGGATTCCGGCGCGCCAAAGTGCTGGCAATAAGCTGTTGAAGGGCCTTTTCGCACCGAGCGTGAATGATGTGTGCCGAGTGTCAAGTGATAAGCCTGGCCGTGGGCAAATCGCGCCTGCTCATATGCAACCGGCTCCACACACACTATACTTCTCTTGTTCATATGATAAGAGCAGTTGAATTTTTCATCGGGGTGCGCAAGAGAAAGAGGGAATGACGCAGGAGAGAGAAAGGGTAAATGGCGCGTGTAATTTTCACTTTAACGCCGCGTGTTTAAATTTTTACGCGCGACAAAAGAAGAAGAAGCGCAGGGTAATGAAATCCCTCTCCGCTCTGCAGTGCAGTGTGATGGATGGCGTTTTTCCAAGCGCAGATTCCACGCGCGAATGTCATTACGCTGCTGTTGGCTTTAATTTCGGCAAGTGCTACTTTTTCGCACCGGCGGGTGAGCAGCGCGCTAAGCAAGAGCCATTCATCACCCTCGAGCTGTTTCTCTCGAAAACGTCGGCACGACTTCATTTATCATCGAGATTTTTCCAAGATTGTGCTGAATTTAAACGGAACCGCTTTTGCTTGATATATTTGTAAATAAAAGCATAATCAAAAATGAGAATAAGTATTGTGATAAATGGTGTGCTTGACTCACTTATGACGACAGCTTCCTGCTGTTAATGAGGATGATTTGAGAAAAATACGGTTCAATGTAAACGGGATATTATTAATTATAATTATGAGAAGACCAAAAATCTTTCAATTAGTTATTTAATTATAATTTTTAGGTACTTCTGTAATGTTTAATTTATATTTTGCCCCCATTAATTTTGTAATTCCATTAAAATTCTAGCAATTAGATATTTTGGAATTAAACTTTTAATATTTAATCAATATTTAATGTATATTCATAAAATTGCACAAAAGTCAAGTAGCATTTCAGTTTATTTAGGGACATAACTACTGTTGATTGGAAACTAATAATATTTTATTTTTTAAAGTAGTTGAATTTTGAAATCTGTTTTAAAAATTAAATCTACAATTTCCGCTTAAAAATACTGTTCAAATATTAGAAGAATAAAATAATACACAAAATTAATAAAAAGTCGTTTAAATTAAATTTTATTATATTAAATTAACAAACAAAGTATTAATTAATATAGAGTCATTTAAATATAATGCAAAATAAAGGTTCTAATGAAGCACACATTTTTGTAAGATTGATTTTAATTTTAGTATAAATTAAAAATTTTTTAAAACAAACTCAACTTATAATTTCATTTATATTATATTGATTCAATAAATATTATAAGAATCTAGGTCAAGAAAAAATTCTAGCATTGCAGAAATGGAAGATCCTTTCCCGCTGGAGTGATTTTGAATCGGACAAAGTTAGTGAGAATATATATCTTTCATCTAGAGTTTTATGTCTCTTCGCCTCTCTCGTTCCTCTCGTAATTTGGAGAGCGAATGATAAAAAAGACCCTGGTGCCGCAAAAGCGAATCCCGCTTTATTTGCCATCAGCCAAGTCAATCTGATTGGGTTCTGGTGGAGTGCGAAATAGCGAACAATAAGAATTTATTACTTCCTCTCCACTTTTCTTTCTTCCTCTCCCTTACAGACTCGATCTGCTTCTTCACTATCGCGAAAAAATCTGCCGTTTTAATTTTGCACAGACAGAGAGACGAGCAGATTTTTCGCTCTCAGAAGGCAAATCCTCATTTAATTGGAAAAACGGAGCCGAGCCGAAGATGTAGCGGCAGATTGAAATGCTCGTGAGGGACCCTTGATGAAATTTTTCCCGCATGTGTGCTAATGCTGAACACGTCATTTTTTCCACTAGGCCCGCGTGGTCAGCAGCTATAGGACCGGGCGAATCCCGTAGCATCAGCACCCACTGACGCAGATTAGCCCGGCGCGCCTTTTTTATGTTCAGGACCCTTCTCGGATGATTGGCTACATTACACATGCGGTAGTCTATGTAGAGGGTAGGATTATTTGTCAGTTTTTTCACCCACTTTGACGGAAATTCATGTGAAAATTCACCAATTTTCTGAAACGGGAAAATTGACGGAGAATTTCAGGTCCTCCAGAAACTAAAAACTTTTTTGCGAGCGGATTTGTGCAATTTTTAATTGAGCAGAGGGCATAATTATGTTGGAGATTTTTCTTGTCATTATTTTTTTGTTCGAAATACTTGACGTAACAATGGAGAACATCATTAAGACTGATAGAGGGCACGCTAATTAATGATGTATTTCCATCCTTTCTCTAATTAGTGGTAAAACTGGCGGAGAATTTTCAAAAATTATCACAGTTATCAAAGATATTGTAGTTAAAAATTTTAAACAATGAAAATGGCTTCATCTTTATTGAAATGCAATTTTTTTGTTTAGAAAACTAACTGCTTTTTTAAAAATTACATGCTCCAGTGCCTAATTCACAAGTGAAAATGTCTTAAAACTTTAATTATTATATTTCACAACAATCACAACCTTCTTCATAATTTTAACACAGTTCACAATTCGCACCATAATTGTAAATTTACTTAAACAAAAGTGATATGGAAATAGAACAAATTTACGTTATTACTATTATTTGGAATTCTTTTAAAACTTTCTATTTTTTTCTGTTTCATGCCCTCACTTTATTATAAAAACTAATTAACTTATTGGAAAAAAATGTGTATATTTTGCATTTTCTTTAGCAGCTTCTTAAAGCAATATTCGGAAAAGTTTATTTGGATGCTCTTTCTAAATGTTTTGTTACAGAAATACTTGAAGTAATGGAGAAGGTTCTTCTCGTGGCTGATAGACGGCGCGTTAATTAATGGTGTATTTCTATCCTTACTCTAATTAGAACTTCTGGGCATGGCACCGCAAACTCCGAGCAAGGTTTGAATTTCCAGGCAAACAAAGCTGCAAACTGACGTGAAGCCAATCGTGCGTGAAACGAAATGCCATTGGCTTTACTACCGCAACTTCGACCATTTTTTTTTTCCACGAGGATATTTTCCATTTCAGCGTCTGGCTCGGCAGGAATTGTAATTAACCCGCTCGGCTCGTGTTCGCGAACGTCCTACACGGTGCGTCGGCCGGGTAATCCAATAAGAAAGCAGAACAATAGGGAACATGCAGTGTGCGTTCCGAGTACAGTGTAGAGCCCCATATTAGACAAAACACTACGCGCTAATGGAGCGCACACACATACACACTCTGCCAGCCGAACGCCTACCTGCACTAATTAACCCTGGGGCTAATAGAATTGCTTTGAATGCAAACTGGCAAAGTTTTGGCGCACGGAATTATTTAGTTCGAACCGTCTCGAGTGAAATGGGCCAAAACAATTTAATTGGCGATGGAATGTTTTAGGGTTTTAGGACTCAGTTGACTATATTTTGATTCAATCCATTTTATTTCTTTCTCCAAACAGTTCAAATAGTGATAATTAAAGCACAGTAATGATCATTGAAAAAATTTTATACGGTTTAGTAAACTTTTTGGGAGAATGAAAAAATATTGAAATTCTTTATATGCGATTTATTGAAAGAGGGACAATTCGAGAAAGCTTACACCCTTCTAATGAAATTTCAATTTAAAAATTTATACAATTAAGTTCTAACAGGAATGTTAATTCAGTTGCTCAGATGTTTTTTGAAATTTAAAATAGTATCAGTAATCAATACATTTGGTTGGTCGATTAAATTAAACAATTTATTTTTTCTTGCAAATAAATTTGTAAAATTATCTCTCCACCCATAGTTAAATTGTCGATATATGAATTGGTGAATAACGTTTTCTGGGTTAAAAATTATCTGAGAGAAGAAATCGGCATTTACAACGTTTATGAAGGTTAAAATATTAATAATCTATAGTTTAATTTAATTTTAGTTTCAAATTACACTGAATTATAAAAAATTACCATATTACTCATCTAAAATTTTATGAATTATAAAAATAATAAATTGATAACAAAATCAAAGTGTTTGAAATAAACATGCTTTGTAAAAAATTAACCTTCCATCACTTATGGCTAAAAGTGGGATGTTTTCAATGTATTTTTTCTTTCTTTTTGTTAATAATTTTTCAATAAAAAATTATTTCAATTTTGAGCCCAAATCCTGAAGCTTAGAAATGCACTGTTTGAGATTTTCTCAATAGGCCCATTTGTGCAACCTCCCTCTATTCTCAATCGCGAGCATAAACTTACCATAAATAACTTTCACAGCATGGAAGCTCGGCGCGGCCAATTTTCGGGAAGGCAATATCGAAGCAAACCGCCGTGTCCGCCCGCCTCTTTCGATTCGGAACGAAATTTGTTTGCATCTCTCTTCGGGAAAAAGAAAGTGTGCGGTTCGCGTCGTTCGCGAGATAAATGGCATGCGAGGGTAATGGGTCATAGGGCCATTTACTCGCAGACGTCCTTTAAAAGACTATTTATCTATCTCTCAGGGCGCCTGTTTACCTCCGGCGCCCACGTCGCTCCCCCTCGACTCAATTTGGCGCCGCCGAACGGCAATTTTTCACAAGGGAAGCGAGCGCCGCCACGTGTCGCGCCTTATTTTCGGGAGGAATGATGACCGCCGAATTTCTTTTCCTCCGCAGCTTCCCTCTCGCGCAAAATGCATATCAAGTGAGAAAGATGTGACTCTCACTGCTTGAGTGCTGTGTTATTTCTTTGCTTCCTCATTCAGAGACACAAGTGCTAAATGGTGCATCTCTTTTACATATTATGCAAAACTGAAAACTGAATACATTAATTTTCGTAAATTTTGGTGGTGAATGAATTTTATAATTTATTGTAAAAATAACTGCAAAAAAATTTCAATTTTAAGGTAAATATCTTTAATAACAACTTTATGCTCATTTAATTTATTTTTAAAACATATTTTTGAATAATATGGAAAACGTTTGCATACAAAACATTTCATAGAAACATTTCATAGAAACAATAGAGCAGAATGGCAATTTTTAGAATTAATTTTCTAGATTTTCATTTTATAAACAAAAATTAACTTTCCAGTTTCAACACTCAAATTTACTTCAAATGTTTCAAGATAATTATGTCAGATAATTGCAAATAAGGATTTAAATTGTTGATATTGATTGAGAGAGGGGGACCAGGGCTGTTATTAATTAGATTCTGTGGGCCGATCCTGGCGGTACTGCAATACCAGGCCAACCCGTATCAGGAGTGGAGCAAGCTCCTAGCATCCCGACAATTTCCAAAAATCAGTTTAATATTCTGGACCGGCAATGCCGGTCGTATCAGATATTAAGCTGATAAGAACAGATACTACACTTTGATCTTAGCCAAAAGGCCGAGAAGCGATACTCAATGTTGAGAGACGCGCGAGCCCGGCCTGAATGGCCATGAGTGTGAAGCATCGAGGCACCGCTTTCATTTCAATCATAGTAAACGCCCTAATTGACGCAGCTCAGTGATTAACGCCTTAATTTAAAGATTTTTATTCTTTCATTTTATTGAATTCTAATTTGTTTTAAACAATTATGATTGAACTAGTTAACTTTACAGATTATCATTCAAGAAAATTTGCCCTTTCGGAAAGCCATCTATCGGAGAGGCGGGAAGCTCTGTCCGAGCGCACACGTTCGCTCTGCATTGGAATTGTATTTTAGTAACTTTCTTGCCGCATTCAGCTCGAAATTCATTTATTATTTTCATCCTTGCATCAATAAATGAAAGAAAACTAAATTATAAATTTGTTATTAAGTTGATTGATTCAAAAATTACCTTGTTTGTGTAACCTAGACAAATTTTTAATTTAATTTAATTATTGTGGTCTTCAAAATTATTATTATTGTCTTGCTAATATTTTGTTCTTCAATAATTTAAAATTACTTGAACTTTAATAAATTAGATAAGATGTCAGCTCGAACCTTTCAACATTTTAAAAATTTCGCAGCAATTCGCTGGTTGGGGAAATTTTCGAGCTTGTGAATCATGAATTTTTCATCGGTCGTGAAAAACTGAAACGAGTGTGCTCCGTATATGCGCACCCACGAGATTTGCCTGCGTTAGACCAGGCCTATATGCAGAAAACCATCAAGGAACGACACACGTTATTTTTTTTTATGCCCGCGCATGTACGAGCAATACCATTACCGTCGACTTTTCTTCCAAGAGAAAATGCAGGGAAGAACAGAGCGCAATCTCGCCATCATCAGGCAACTTTCATGAAAGGCCGTTTAATTGCTCGAGTTGAACAAGAGTTGTGATAACTCGTTAGCAGCGGAAAAAGAGCGCAGTTGGCAAAATATTGAATATTCAAGCGGTGTCTAAGTAGGTCTTTCATTTTGCCCTCAATTAGTCCAATTGATGATGCAGCCAGGATTTTCTCATCAAACACAAACAGTCTCTCATGTAATTTTTACTAATTTGTGCTCCAATTTTTGAAAAAAGGAACGATCAAGTTTACTGCAAAACGAAGTTAATTTAAAGTGCCAGAAAATTAGTCCCAGGCAGGGAAAAAAGAAAAAGAGAGAACAGAGGGTTGAATAAAACATAAACGGGCCAAATGGATTAACACGCCGAGCAAAATTCGCTTTTCATTTTTAATGCGACAATGGAATGGAGCCACAGAATAGCACTCTTTTTAATTGATGGATTTAAAATGTTTTCATGATTATTAAAATAAACCTACGCATATATTTTTGAGAAATAATTTTTAATTAATATTATATCAATTTGTTTAATATATGTTTTAAATAAATTTAGCAGATTTATAGTAATTAAAATTTGGTTCTTGAAATCATATTAGCAAGCTTTTAAATTTAATACTGATAAATAAGAACTGATAAAAGTTGATATGAAATGAAAGCTACGCATACAATTCATTATAAGGATTGAATTTCATTTTAATTTATCTTGTTGCTCAGTATAATTTTGATTCCAAAACGTTCTTGGATGTGTTGTATCAACAATTCAAAACTACAAAAAGTGAAGAAAGTATACAAAGAAGTACTCATGTCGGAATACTACAATAATTAATGGAATTAGCGTATAATGATGTGATGAAAATCAAAAGTGAAGCTGCAAAAAACTTGAAAAATTAATATCGAATTTTTATTTAAAAAAGCAAAACAGTGGTATAAATAAATTAATAAAAAATTTTAATAATACAATTCAAAGTTTCACTCGAAGTAGGTAAATAAATTTCAGTTCAGTTTAAAAGTAGAAACAAGATAATGAAAGTCGATAAAAGTAGTTCCGAACGGTGCAAAAGGAGTGAAAAGAGGATATAAATTCTGAACTTTGGCGAGCACCCTTTAAAAACGTGGTGCATCACAAAAGTTCTCTGCTCTCATCGATTCCCCGAGCACGCAACGAAAAGTCGGCGAGCAGAAATTAGGGTTTCTCGATGGCTCGCGGAGGAATCCTTTGGCGGAATGTAACTCGGCGTGCTCCGCCTCGCCAACTCGGTGTTTCGCCTCGGCAGCCACAAAGACTTTTTCTCCCCGGGCTGTTCCTTCCGGGCCGGCACAAACTAAGAAACACGGCGATCGGCTCACAATGCGATTTTGGACATGCAATATACATACAAATGCGGAGGGCGAACGGGCGGGGGTGTGATTGTGGTCTGCGGGCAATCAGAAACCAACAGATGCGGCCACTTCCGTAAGGGCGGCCATCAAGAGCGCCAATACTTGCAATCAACCCCTCATTCTCAAGCCGACCCTAGCCATTACAAAAAGTATTATATAAGGTCGACAATTTCTTGCTGCGTCGTAGTTCGATATGAGAGCAAGTAAAAGAGAAAAAAATAAAAATGAGTCAATTGAAAAAGGTTAAAACTTCCTTTGAAATAATTTATTTTAAAATTGAAAAATATTTTATAAGCAAAAATCTTTTTTTTCTGGCGTTTAAATTAAAAGTAAAATAGCATCTTACATTGAAGAAGATTTGAAAACAATGTGCAATTTTTAAATTTTATAAATGCATAATTATGTCACTTTTCATTATTTAATTTTTTCTAATTACCAATAATAGCAGTTTGTCAAATTAAAAAATTTCATTCTATTAAATGAAATTTTTTTTTAAATCAGGGAAATAATATTTGATTTTATGCAGCAAGAAAAGCTTCTTTTTCGCCCAAAGTGAAAAGAAATTTATAACGAAGAGTTTTTGAGCTCCAGAGTCAGCATCAAATTTCCTCCGCGCTGATTTGGATTTTGGAAGTAGGTGCGCGATTCTTCTTTTGTGCCAACTCATCGCGCCGGCGACGAAAAGTTGCTCGAATCCAAAGCGCCTGCAATCTCATCAAATCAACACAGCCAGCGCGACTCTGTTGGTTGGTATATCAAATTTCTGGCGCTTTTGTGCAAAACACAACGGCGCACACACGCATTTTTCGGCGAGTTCTCTCTCTCTCTCGGTTTCCAGCGGCGAATTGGATTAAACCGGCGTCGCGGCGGAGCTTTAATCTGCTGAGTGCAGTCCGGAAAAACTGATTTATCTCGCTCGGCGCGCAAATTGAATGAAACATTATTTGCTTTTAATCTCGTTTAATTTAAACTTGCTGAATTTCATTTGTCACGCAAAACAAAACAAACAAAAAAACTGCTCACTTCCTGCAAATAACGGTCTGAGCAAAATAATAAAATTCCACATCAAAGATGCAATAACGCTGCAATTTATTGCAAGGGGACAATGCATATTATTGCCCAGCCGGCGATTGACGTTTATTGATACCCGATAGATATGGCGGCACAAAAGTCCCCGACGCGGAGGCGAATGAAAAAAGTCGCCCTTTGATATCAGTAATAAATTATTCCGCATTCATGGTTCACGACAGGTCAGACGGGCGAATTCGGTCGCACAAGAATGGGTAATGAACTCGCTTGACTTCGACGGCATAAATCACAGAAATTGGAGCGGCCAACTTTTGCATTTAGCCCTGTTACTTAAACGTCCGCCTCGGCTCAATTTGTTATTTTCTCTCTTGAAGATTCGAGAAGAAGACTTGGTCGATTAATCAAGCAGTTTTTCTCTGCGTTAGAAAGGGCGTATTTTCTCAAGTAAAAAATCATCTTTGCAAATTTAAATTGATTGTCAATCATTGAGAAAAATGTCACGCCAATATTATTGAATTAATTGCGTAAAAATTTGCTTATTTTTTCTTTTACTAAATTTAAGATAATTCCTGTTTTTTTCAGAAATGAGTAAAAAGAGTTAACAGATGACATAAAATTTGCAAGGGTTATCGTGGAGGTCAAGGTTTGAGGAAAACGTTGAAAGTAAATAGTTATCATTTGGACTTGAATCAAACTCTTCGTCAGTCAACAACTGCGACTCAACAAAGAGGGATCTTCAAACTAAAGAGTGAGGAATGAAAATTTTTAATTTTTTTCTTGTATTTTCAATTTCAGTTTTTTCAGGCAAAATGTTGGCACTAAAATTTGTTGGAATAATTTGCATCACTCAGATTTTGTGTGCTTTTGGCGAGCCGAGAAAGAATTTTGGTGAAAAAAGCTTCTAATATAATTACAAAATATTTAATAAAAAATTACAGACTTTCCAGGTGGATTTAGTTTTCCTAGCTGCGGACAAGTGACCGCTCCGAGCCGCCGAAATTCAATTAAAAATACCGATGCCACCCCAGGCCACAACCCTTACCATGCAAATATAGTTTTCACAAACTTCCGGTCCAAGTATCTGAAAAAGGCTCCTTGTGGAGGAACTTTGATTTCGAAAAGGGCCATTCTGACTTGTAAGAGTGGTTTAAAAACTAATTATTTAAAAATTAATTTAATTTTCAAGCCGGACACTGCTTGTATGCTGGGAATAGGCGACTGACCCCGGACCAGTTCCAAGTGACCCTTGGCGCCTACAATGTCAACAAACCTCTGGAGGTTGCAAGACAGACAATCAAGGTTTCTCTGCCATTTCAATTAAATTTTATAAGACTAATTTTTAAATAATTAAACAGCCAATTTCAACAGTGGTCCACCCGTCATACAATCATTCGTCTCTTCTAGTGTTTGGTGACAATCTTGCCTTGCTCATTTTCAACGAATCTGCCATCCAAATCACAGAAGATGTGAAACCTGCATGTTTGTGGAGTGACGATTTTGACACAGAAAAAATACTCAACGTCACTGGAGAGGTGAACTTGGTTTTTATTTAAAACATTAAAACAATTAATTTTATTTTCATATTATTGAAAAAATTAAATTTTTATGCAAAATTGGCAAAATAATAATTTTTAACTAATAAACATCATAAATGTCAATTTCTTTTTTACATTTCAGGTGGTTGGTTGGAGCACTGATGCAAACGGAACTCAAATTGACGAATTGAAGCAAAACCACCTGCGAGTTACTTCCTCGGCTGATTGCGAAGAATACTTTAAAAACAAATTCCAACCGACTGAAAATTTCTGCATCGCCCATACAAAAGGTTCACTTTCCACTTCAAACAAGTTAGATTGCTATAAAATTTTGTTGTACAGACCCCGAAGGCTGTGCCTATGATGATGGTGCCGGATTTGTCATCAATAAGAACGGACGGAAATATCTTAGGGGAGTTTTAATTAACGGACTTTTGGAAAATGACAAAAGGTTTGACGCCAAGAAGGAGAACGTTTGTGTCCAAACCAGACGCCCATTGGTGACCGATTTAGATCACTACATTGATTGGATCATTGAAAATGTCCCTGATATTTCTCGGTCATAATTTTTTTGTTTAGGGGAAATTTGGAAATTATGATGTTTAAAAGTATAAAAAAGAATTGAAAAATTGAATAATTTTCAGGTTAATTTAACCCTGAAACCAATCCAATCAGAATTTTTTCTTTCACGACCTATCTCTACTTCACAGAAGGTTTTATTACTTAATTTTCTTAATAATTCTGAAATAAGGCAAAGTTCATGGTCGACATTCTCGGTAAAAATATTCAAAACTCCAATGAACTCCTAGTTTGAATATTTGCATCATGTGAAGAAGTGAGCATTTTTTATTGCGAATTTTATTATAAAATTTTTGATTTTTATCAGATTGATTTTTTTTAATTCGATAATTATTTTTGAGATTTAATTTCTTCACGTTTTGCATTTCCTTTTCCTTTCTTTCTTGATTTTTGAAGAATAAACAATATAAATAATACCGCTGAAAAAAAAGCAAAATTATTTTCAACGGATCCAATAATGTCTGTTTAAAAAGAAACTGCAAAAAAAATCAAAATTTAGAAATATTCTATGATTGTAAATGACTGAAAATAGCCCATTCCTAGCTCACTTGTCAGTCGAGGCAGATGGCCTGTGTATCTAATTTTCAGTGTTTATTTTCGTATTCAAAAAGCAACAAGATTTGCACTCTCCGCTGGCCTGGCTAATCCGGTGGGGCTTTGTGTCAGCCGGCGACGCACAAAACGCCTCGTTCTCGCCGCCGCCGCCGCTTCGTAATTGAGTTAGCAAAAACAGACAGACGATGACACGCCGCTCGCCAGGTTCGCCTCCCAGGGCTGATTCCACGTTTGCATTTCCATGCATTATGTATGCACGGCGCTGAAAATGGAAAAGAGAGCCTTCTGGCAGAGGCGCGAATTACAGAGCAGGCAAAAAAACGCAGCTGTCAGCACCGGCGTGATGTACAAAATGTGACAACGCGTGCATGTTTAATCCGTCATACATTTTGCGTGCGAGCTCAGCTTCCCACAACAAACACACGCGCAGAAGTTGCATACATCACAATATTCCTGAATATTCCCACTGCAGAGATGATTTTAGCAACGAATATAATTTATATTAATAGCAATCCCTGCGGCGACCGCATTACACAATCTGATCAAAACTTGCTTCATTTGTGGATTATATTGTATTACAGTTTTGTCATGTACGGGTTAGTCTATAAATTCTGTGATTGTTCCCGCAAAATTTAATGACAGCCACTTTAATGTGGTTGTCAAATTATTAATGAAGTTTTAACGGGCAAAAATAATTTAATCACATATTGAATAATTAGCCACAAATGAACTGATAAATTATTTAACTCTGTTGATATTATTTATGTCCATTGCCACATTTAAACATCAATGATTTGAAATTTTTCTATGACCGCCTCATGCCAATTAAATAAAAAAATCTCTATTTTAAATAATTTTTGGCGCCTAACAAAAAATCCCATATTTTTACATATTTATCAAGTAGGACATTATTCAAGAATAACAACTTTTACGAAATTTTCTGTAGTAGAAATTGTGAGGCGCAATGTTTTTGTTTCCAGATTTTCAAAATAATAAATTATTGTTAGGTAAAAATTATGATTTGCATTTTAATTCAAATAAAGACTTTTAATTCCCAATTACTGTTCCTAAAAATTTGTTGTAATATCATTTAAGATCAAACCTTATCTCTAATTGTAAGTATGGAAAAAATTTAAGAGAAAATTTCATTCAATTGCGCTAAAAGGTCGGAGGCGAGAAACATCCGCAATGCAGACCCCGCCCGGTTCTCTCAAATCTACACAAATGTTTTGTGTGGCGCCCCATTCATAATTTCGTCTTCCATTATTCTTTCCGAAAGCTCGAGCTAGGAAAGGACGCCGGTGGCAACAAAAAGCGGTGGCGCTGCAGCGATTCGTCGTCCGGCACCACCTGCCCGGGGAAAGGGGTGAAATAATGCGCGGCTGCGAATTTGTAAAGCTGCCTTATCGCGACGCTTCGAGACGGAAGTAGTGCAGCAGTAAATTAGCCTAGCTGCTCGCTCATTACAATTTACACGGAGCAGTGGCAGGAGATTGCGTTTTCCCTGTGGTCTTCATTGTCAGAGAGAAGCAGACGTTACTCTATTAGTACAATGTAATACACATGTTAAGCTCTCAATCGACAATTTAATTTAACAGAAGTGCTAACGATTTGTTAGCATAAATTCCAGCTGAATTTACAGATGAATCATTTCGTCTGATTAAATTTTTATGACTTTTAGCCCAAATAGAAAAAAATGCGGGTTTTAGGAGGAAAGATTTGTGATTTAAATTTTGTTATGGCAAAATTATATGATTGATTTTAATTTTATTGTAAGTTCTCTCTTTTTCTTAATTTCCAAAAATTTTGTTTTCGACAGAAGAATTTAACTTTTACTTCAATTCATAGATACGAAATTATAATTCATTTTTTGATTAAAATCGTGATGATAAAACTCAAGAAATATATCGTCTGTCTGGTCTTTTATTCACTTTGGGCACAATGCGTCTCCATCTGAACCAATCTTGAACAAACGCCAGCCAGATAAAAATCACAAGAGAACCAAAAGGGATTGATGGTTTCTTTCTCTAGCTTGGGTCTCTGCGCTCAATTTTCTTTCTTTCCGGACCTATCACGATGAATATAATTTTTCTCTCTCTCTCTCCCATTGTTCACTTACATAAAATAACTCTCTGAAAGGTGTTCCCGTCCCAGAGAGTGAAATATGGGCGTCAAATTGTCGAGGCCTTTATTTGCCGCGACAGGCGGCGCCTGCTCAAAAATAATACAATATAACAACGAGCAGAGCAAATATTGATTATTATTCAAATCATAGGTTAGAGATCATTGCCTCGGATGATCAGCACTTCTTCTTTGGAGAGAGTTATTATTTCTGGACTCCCGCCAGGAGTGAATACAAAAATCTTGTCGGCTTAATATTTTTTTAGGGCGGTTCGAACTTTGGCTCATCAGTCATACGGAAAAGTTGCAGACGCTTTACGAGGAAATCCCTAACAAAAGTTAGTGTACAATATTATACACAGTTTCTTGCTCTTTTGCATTTTTTTTAAAAACTGGGTATTAAGCAGAGCCGAAAAGTTTGCGGATTTTCTGCTTATTCTCAGCGCATCGTGCTGCTGATGGCCAAATAAGGGTCGTAATAAGAATACACGCACTAAATTCTTGTTACGCCGTAATGATAATCGTAAAAAATGACGACCCAGCCAGCAGCAGTGGCGGCGAAGGGCAAAAGAAAAGGCCGCTTGCCCATATGAATTTGCCTCACGAGAGAGGGATAAGCTGCTCTGCATTGTGATTTTTGCTGACTGGAAACTCTTTAAAAAAAGGAGCAAATCCCTAGAAAAAAATCTGCTCCGAGATATTAAAGTAGGAAGAGGACATTAAATCAAATTTGACCAAATGATTTCCTATCTTGGTAGGATCAATATAAAAATTTTGTATCAATATTAAGGAATAATCATCAACCTCTCAATCAATCACGGAAAAGATTCAGTTGTAAAATTGAAATTATCAATCATATTAAACAAGGGCTCAAAATTAATGAAAATTCAAAAGTAAATTTTTATTTTTGGTTCAAAATTTCTAAGACATAAAATAATATTCTTTATCCAAAAATATTAACTTATGCTTTCATATAAAATAATATAAAATATAATATTTAATTAAATTATTGAAATTCAAATAAATTTATCTACATTAAAAATTAATGAATAATAAAAGATATACAAATCAATTTTTTTAAAAATATACATTACTTTTAGATCATAGATAATAATAATAAGCTCATAATATTGTGATAAACAAAAAACATTTTACTGTGTTTATTTTTTTCTGGATAAATTACATTTCCCATTTTCATATTCCTATTCGGCCATGTTTCTTAACCAGAAAATGAAGAAAAAAAATTTTCTGACTAACATTTTCTTCAACGAAATCCTAATTGAAAAAGTTTTGATGGCTTCAACTTATTTCTCAGCATGAAACAAAAAGGGTTTGGATGCATCTTGTTATCTCTCATCTCAAGATGCAGTTCCTTCCAACTTCCCTTAAGGAAATGCACTGCAGATAAGAAGCGTGTCCTCTTAGGTGAGGCGGCTGCTCCAGCTAGAATTCCTGCAGATACGAGGCGCTTCTATCACACAATCAACAGAGAAAAATGAGGGAGCGAGCGCGGTCTTTGTATAGGGCGAATTCCAGGCTCGATGTTGCGTTATGCGAGCTCGCCGAGCTCGCCCTTGGATGCGCATGTAAATATTTCGAGCTCTTGTTTTTGATGATGAGATGAGCGCCGAGCAGGAAACTGGCGCACTGATGTTTCTGACAGACAAAACACAAAACAGCAGACTTTAATTTTAGGATATTAAATTGCGCGAATTCTTCCTTCCGAAAAGTTCTAGATGTGCATTTTTTTTGTCAACATTCACGCGAAAAAGCTTTAACTCGGTGTTGCGGTGAAAGTTGAAAAAATTGCATTTAATTAAAAAAAAAAGTTTACAAATATGCATACAGGGTTTCTTTTAAATTAAAATCAAATGTTATTAAATTAATAAAAGCAAACTTAAATTTGATCAGAAAACTCAGTTAAATATCTCGATTTTTTTCCAGATTTGCTACTAACAATAAGGAATGAAGTGTAAATTTAGCTTTAGATATTTCCAGGGTAAAATTTCTTCAAAAGTTAATAATAATGGGCTTGAGAAACTTTCGAAGCTTGTTATTCTCACAAATCCTTGCAACCCTTTAACTCCGCAGGATTGCATAAACTTCTAAAAGTGGAGAAATTTTTAATCAAAGTTTTCTGTGAAAAATCGTCTTTCTGTAAAATTTCTTTCCCAAGTGACAAACAGTAGTTGCAGAATATTAATTTGGATTGTGGCTCCGCCAAGGCTTCTTCTCACCCGCTGCCACACCAGAGCTTAATTTACTCCTAATCTGCTTTTGAGCAGCCGCTGGGCGTGTTTCTTATTAATTCGAATGTTTTGCGGAAAACTAGCGACGGATGCGAGGGAAACTCACTCGCGAAGTTTGCAGCTGCCGAGAGATAATCCCTCTTATTAAATAATATGTATGCGCGCAT